AAAACAAACGTTCTGCTGAACGCACCCAATGGCTGCGTTCAGCAGACTCAACAGTTTTGCAACCGTTTTATGATTGTCTGCTGAGATAGGACCATTCTTCTAGATCTAAAAATATGATCCAATTAGCGCGAAGGAAACTTCCAACAGTTGCAAAACAAACGTTCTGCTGAACGCACCCAATGATTCCGATGAATTTTGCTTCGTATTATCGGAATCCTGTTTTCTGATTGGATGCAGAGCGTCGTACGACGAAAGTGAATCCAGCATTAGGGCAACTTGTCCACACTTGTTCTGACTTGTTCGCGAGAGCGGGAAAATTATTAACATAGTTAAACATCGACAGAAGCAGATATAAGGAAAAGAAACGTCCGTTTATGTTATTGTCGTTTATAAATTGCGATGTCAATTTGTTAAGTTGAGATGAGTGAGAAACTGAATAGTTTGATCATCCAAAAAGATCAAGCACAACTGCAAGAATTCGTGCGGGAAACCTCAACTGAGGAGGTAAGGAATGCAGTTCACAAATGTAAAACACCTTTTTTATTTATAGCCAATTCTATATGAGAAGTTAAGACTCTTCTTAAGAACATCAGTCCGAAACGGTGTTAGAAAGATGATTTATTTCAGCTCACGAAGATAATATCAAACGAAATTTGCAATGCAGACATTTCCAAGATACTGGACGAGGTCCTGCAAGTGTGTTCTGAGTCGGAGAGTTTATATGCCAAGAGAGTCAAATTAGTGGAGTCCGCTCTGAAAGCTTTAGGCAAAGCCAAAGTTACAATTAATCATGCAAGCGAGATTGTGAATCGGATAGTGTTAGACTTTCCTAAATATCCAAAGCTACATTTGATCAAATTGGTCGACTTCTGTCTTACTAGTATTCGCAACAATGACGACGAATTTAGAAGGTATATGATTACTTCAATCCTTTAACATAATAAAAACAAAAGATACATATGGTATGTTTCAGTTGGAAAGACTTATTACCTGTCTTGTTGGAAGTATTGGAGGAAGAAAAGTATATTACTTATATGAATGGCGAGGTTACTGGTTCCAAATACAAGTCTATCATCATTAATAATCTATGCAATAGTGAATGGGACACACAGATAATGCCATCGTTGGCGAGAATGTTTAGGTAACCATTCTTGCAGTTCCTAGTAAAATAGATATATGAATAAATGAACTGATGACTTTATTGTACTTAGAGATATATCATTGGAAAAGGAGGATCATGCTATGGTAATTACAGTATTCTGCACAAAATTGCAAGATATACCTCTTGATGAAGTACCTCCTTTTGTGCATCAGTCACTGAGATTGTGTACTAATCAGGATAATAAATATCTCTTGGAAGCCTTACGGAAGTATTTCACACTACGCTTCTCGCAAACTGACAGTACTGACACTTTTGAATCTATAGGTAAGAAAAATAAAGATATAATTTATTAATGTAATATATAATTATATAATGTTATAATAGTAATAATATGTAACAGTAACATTATATAACTATATATTGTTAAATGATACAACTATATTATATTATAAACATAACATTGTTAATGTAGTTTTATTATAGAATATAACTTTAGAAACATGACATTTAAAAGATTTAAAATTCGATTCCCATAATTCTTTATAAATGTTGTCTCTAAATTATACATAAAAGTGTGACACATTTTTCTTTTTGAGTCTTAATCTTTAATTACTGAATTACAGATGTGATAAATCCCAAGGAAGTTCGAGACGTTGAAAGTACAGTATTATATCATATATCTCAATCGGCCGAATTGAATCACCAACATATAAGAGACTACATCAAATATTTTAAAAGTATATCGCACATTCCTGAAGCTGTATTAGAACCTTTTATGCTTTCTGTACTGCTCACAGTTGCTTCTATTGATGAAAATCAGGTGATGATATATTAATTTATTTATTTTTGTATGTTTTAATGCCTATACTTTTCTTTTTGAATCTTAATTTTTTAATTACTGAATTACAGATGTGATAAATCCCAAGGAAGTTCAAGATATTAAAAATATAGTATATCATATATCTCAATCAGCCGAATTGAATCATCAACACATAAGATTTTACATTAAGAGACATATGATATGATACTATACTTTCAATGTTTTAAACTTTCTTGGGATTTACCACATCTGTAATTCAGTAATTAAAAATTTAGATTTAAAAAGAGAAATGTGTTATACTTCCATGTACAATTTAGAGACACCATTCATAAAGAATTATGTGAATCGAATTTTAAATCCTTTAAATTTTTTAAATATTTTTAAAATTATTCTATAACAAAAAAAACTATTAAACATGTTTTTATGTTTATAATGTAATATGGTTGTATTGTATAACAATATATAATTATATAATATTATTTAACTATAATATCGTAGATTTTCGAAATGCTGCGAACGATTATTAATAAACGAAACGAAAATGATATTAAACAGAAACATAGCGCATGGTTAAGAAAATTAATTCCCGATTCTTGTAGCATAATAAATGTAATGGAAAACGTCATCGAGGCGAGGTAAATGTAATAAATTGCAGGTATTATAAATATTTTAATATCAAATCTTTTAATATATACAACACTTTAATTACATAGTAACAGAGATCGTCACTTAGTATTGAAAGGACTCGTAGATCTCGCATTTGTTCTTATGGCTGTAGAGAATAAAACAAAAACGGATGTGCATCCTTTATGGCAAATCGGTACAAAGATACTTCAAAAGATCATGAGAAAGCATCACGAAACAGTTGCAACTATATTTCAAATGTTGATTGATAAGATAATCGCGAGTAGATCATCTATTTCTCAATATACTGGTAGGATTTTTGTAAAAATGCTCTAAATAGTTATTAATTATTTATTGTGTTTATTAACTAATTATCATAAATCTTGTTATTCCTCATTTAATTATTGGCAGCTAATATTATTTGTTTGCAGATTGTTTGACATATATGTGCCGTAAGTTAACCATTCTAGTGTTGGACCATCAAGATTCTATAATAATGCTTTTCGATCAGATCTCATCTATACCCGGAGAGATTGCCATTTTTATTGTTTCCGCGATATTTCCATTGGTACAAGTCTCAGTCAGTATAAGAGAACATTTGGTCTTGACATTGAGACAGGCTCTCTATAGAAAGGGTACTTTTAATCGACAAATGGCGGTCAGTGGGATTTTGGAAATGTTGAGGAATCTGAAAATACATTCTATGAGTAGCCTCGCGATGAGTTCGAGTCAGTACGCCAATTCGTCGTTGACTGGCACAAGTTCTACATCCATTTTGACTCAGGTTTTATTAATTATATTGTCACAGTCGGTTAAACTTTTATAACTGTAAAATGATTAATAATAAATGATTAATAAATTCTATATGATATTGTTTTAGGTGACATTAGAGAGAGGTACTCAAGCAAGAGGACTTACTTCAAGATATAATAGAACTTTATGTTACGATATTTTGGGCATTTTAAGAAGGTGTTTTACTCACGAGTGCGAAGTTCGATTATACTTATACAATGGTACGAGATTAGAGAAAAAATTACGCTACTTGTATTGCTAAAAGATTAAAGTAATTAGTTATCAATTTGGTTCGATTTATCCTTTAGGTTTATATGAAGCCGTATTGAAAAATATCGAGATAGCGGAATACGTATTAGAAATGTTGTTGCCACACTTCAAAACTTTTTTTGAGACAGATGAGAACGTCGTGGTGCCAGTTAAACTGGAATTATGTACAGTTATACAAGGGGACCAAGTTGTATTGCAGGAACCTCTGGCAGAACTGATATTCGTACTACAAAAGATTTACATCAAATCGGCTCTAATAAAATCATCTTTTGTAGATGAATTGGCTATTATCTTGGAATCTCTCTGCAGACGGATGCCGCGGCTCGAGACAGAACATCTAAGTCTTGTGAGTTTAGAAAATTAGACTTAATAAAATTCAAGATTATTTGTAATTATATAATATCTTTAATTCTCTTTTAATCTCAATAGGATGACAAGCTTGATTTAAGCAACACTAGCACCAAAGCTCAAGAAAAATTGCAGATTGTTCTGTTAACGATTAAAATTTACGAGGCTCTCATATCCTTTAGAATCGGCGCCTGGTCTATAAATTGTACAGATACCGCACAAAATATTAAAAATCTGTTCAAAGGATATACGAGATTAGTTGAATTTACTAAGGTAATGAAAATGTATGTTGTGTATATTTATAATTAATATAAATTTATTTATAACTATATGATTTTTTATTATTTTCAATTGCTTAGCATATACCAAAGGTTAAAAAGGGAGAAGGAAAAAATAAAAGGACACAAAATGACTTAAATAATACAAGTGTAAAGAAAGCTGGCCGACCAGGTAGCATAAAATTACCGCCCAGTATCATAGATTTGTTTATAGTGCACAAAAGTCTGTCGCTCTTCTATTTGAAATCTGTTCCCTGGGCATCTGAGGACCAAGTAACTGTGTTAATAGATAACCATGATTTTTATCATTACATTCTGCGAACATTATTGCAAATTTTGCAAAATATTAAACTATTAACGGAGTACAATTTGCGGAAGCATAAAGAACAGTATATGAAGACCTACTTCGAAATTGGAAAGTAAGTGCTGTTTTATGTAGATACCTAGCATCTCGCTGTTCATTTTGCCATGCATTTTTAAGGCATTTTTTATGATACATTACTGCAGACTCTAAATCTTTTTCCTGGCAGATTATTATACAATCACATTATACTGGATTTGAACAAAGTTCTCGATACAGACGAACAAGGGACTATATTAGCATTAGAATGTTTCAAAGAATTATGTTGTTTAATTTGCACCTACTTCTCTTCTGAATTGTCGCAGTTTCTTAATGTTATTATTCGTAAGTGTTTAAAATATTAGGATAAAGTAGTGTTCCTGTTATAATATAATTCTTTTTGCAGCTAATGAATCAACTCAAGCAGAAAATCGTAACTCACAATTGGAGAACATAATTGCTACTGTACGTACAAGTTTCAGGACGTTCTTTACTGAGAAGGAGGAACATGAGGAGAATTCTAAACAAATACTTGGTATATTATTAGATATTATATACCAACTGATGCAACAGATACATTTTTATGAAACAAATGGCGATAAAGTTAGTATCTTTTTGTAACTATTTTTGTTGAATAAAAATAGAAAGCATAATAAAAAATCTGTTACATAAGGTATTTGAATCGATGATGAAATTCACACAATTGGAAGATATGAATCCTCAAGCTTCTTTAACTATTTTCCAAATTCTGTTATTTATAGAAGAGCGAAATAGGTACCGTCGATAAGGTATATAATGAATATAAGTATATAAGGTGTAATGTACTGTCGACCAAAAATTTGAGATCATTAATTGAAAATGTATTATATATATATATATATATGTGAAAAATTAAATTGAATTTATTATAATTTAACATTTTTATTATTTTACACATTGTTTTATAATGAAATAAAAAATATGAAATGTTTCAAAGTTTCACAGAAAAATATTTTTTGCAAGATGAATGAAAAACACTAAAGAGTATTAGATACTTTTTTCGTCGAAATCGTTCTTACGGTAAATAATTTTTTCTAATTTAAGTAAGTTAGCTACAAGTTTCTTATTTTTTTCTGACGGAAAAGTCTTTTATTTCCATTTTCTAAAATAGTCCATAGCTCAGTTTTGGGAGACTTTATGCCCATGGTTCATTTTCTCGAGATTAAACAAATGCTGTGTTAATCACAACTGTGCTAAATAAAACGCATATTTACTTTCTAATTTAAAAAAATTGTATAAACGAATTGACAGTATTTTTTTTAATAGTGTTTTGGAACTGGAATATACTTAAATTTTATGTGATTTCAAACTTTTAGTTGACAGTGTATATATATTCTATTGTAATGTTTATCTTATTATTACATAAAAATTGATTTCTCTTTAAATATTCATTATTATTTATTTATAGACTGAGGTATCGGAAAATAACAAATTCAAAATTATCCACGAAGAGACGGCGGATAAACTTTACAATTTAATAAATAATTCGGTAAAAGAGAAATTGGACAATGTATCTTGGTTGTTAGTGCGTCTTAAAGCCGAGCAAAATATTGTTTGTCCGCCTGGCACAGATATCGAAGAATGTACGTATAATTTCATGTACATATATTTATATTGCTTATAAACTTTTGCACTTGTTTTCTTATAATATTAAAATCCCTGAACACAGATCAGGAAAAAGTGAGAACAAAAGAACGCAGTTTGTGCAGACAGCTGTCGCACATTATACAAATACTTTATACAATAGCTAACGTTGCTATTAAACCAGGAGCATCCACAGATATTATGTTCAAAAATTTACAAATCGTGTACAATCTACTTAGTAATCTTACAAAATATTTCTACGGAAAATCCAGTAAACAAAATGCAGCATTTCAATCAGTGAAGTAAGAATTTGTCTCTATATTTTATAAATTTTAATATATTAATTTTTAATTACTGTTTAATAATTTAATTTCATATATATTTTTATTTACAAAATATAATTTTTATATAATTTCAGATTTATTCAAGTGATTCAATCAGCTGGGAAACCATTAAAATCTGGATTTTATAATTTAATAACCTATATTGAGGTATTCATCTAAAATATGATTTTATCTTATATCATGTAGAAATAATAATATGTGTTCGTATTGTATAGGGAAATCAAAATGCAAAAAAATCGAAAGCTGATTCACACTTGCAAAGAAACAAGATTTTGAAAGAGACTCGAATTATACCCCGTGTGATATGTGAAATAGAACAATTTCATAAGGAGGTTTTATCGCTTGATAAGAAGACCGGTGTAAGTATTTATTGTATATTTAAAGAAGAGAAATTGATACATGTACACGTATGTGTTTACTACTTGGGAAAATCAGAAAAATCTGGAATTTTCAAGGGATTTCTTTTTTACTTTTAAAAATCAGAGATTTTCATAGAATTTGATCTGTACTCAGGGAAACTTATAATTTTACTTATTCTGTTTCTTTCTGAAAACAGCTTTTCTTTAATTATTTTTTTCTTGATAATGCAAAATATTGATTAACTATAAGTATGGTGTACACATTCGCGTACATTCTCGCCTGCCTTGTGTATTTTTATAAAAAAAAATGAGGGTAATAGTAGGAGACACAATACTCAATACTCATTGTTAGTAGAAGAGATAACTCACTGATACTGTATTGTAGTTAATCTTTACTTCCTATTTCGGAATTCTAATTGTAGAAAGTGATATAGTCTTAGAAAATTGCTGTCTTCTACTAATTTACGATAGTTTGTTTGCACTGTAATTTATTTGAAAGTTGCATAAAAAAAATTGTCTAATCTTACCTGAAATTTTGAATGAAAATATTTGGAAAATCTATGAATTCTCAGGGAATATTTTTACAAGAGATTTCAGTACCCTACATGTACATGTAAATGTACCCTAATATGGTTTATTTAAAAAAGGAGATAAATTTATATATGAATATAGAGACAATTGCGATATGTATATTTATTTAGGTTCCACTTGAGATTTACATAAAGCACAGCATAACGCGCGATTTCCGTATAAAAAGCACACAGTTAACAGAAGCACTGGACAAACTGAATATAAGTATGGTAAGAAAGAGATATGAAAAAGTATTGTTTAAAGTTTGGCATTTTATAATTCTTTTATACTTATCACATTATATTTATCAGCTGGATACACAGAATTCTCGTTGCAATAACGACGCATCTAATGCAGATATAAATGACGTATCTATTGAATCACTTACTGAAACACCATCTTCAAAACGATCTAGGCAAAACAATGCATCCTCAAAATCGCCGGAATTCCCGCCTTCAAAACGCTCAAGAAGATCATCAGAATCTTAAACTTAAAACTATAAGTGCCTTATCTTAAGATTAATAATATAATCTTTCTTTCATTTAGATATAAAGTTTAATTCTACATTTCTTCTGTATAATAGTTTTTTTTATATAAGTCTAATTATATCAAGAGTTGTATGTAAAGAACATGTTTATGAAATATAAATATTCTATTTTATAATATTGTATTAAGTATAATAAATTAAAGTATAACTTGCGTTTAATTTACCATATTAATCATAACATTAGTAATATTTTGATGGCTTAGTCATTCAGATATTTTCATCATATTTGTGATGTCATTTTGACATACTTATCACTTGAAATTGTACTAGAAGTAAATTATGCAACAAAGTCCAGAGGCCTGTTGAAACCACCCTTTCTATTCATGTACTGTCTATATTTCCTTTTCAAAATGACATGAACCGCACCCACGTCATTTCCATCTACTTTTTTGCCTTTAGTGGTATCGAAATCACAGAATCCCATTATTCTCATCATCTCTTGTTCTTCAGGTGTTTTGCCTTGAAGATCTGCTTCTGTAATACAAAAGCACAGTTAATTGTTTCTCTTTCTAATTTCAATGGTTGCAACTTTTATTAGAACTTTGTGACATGTCAAAACTCTGATGATCTTTGAAAAGTATTTGGAGATTTCTAGAGTCACACGACTGGGCTATTCGAGTCAAACTAGACATCATTAGCTAATAAATCAATTGTTTTAATTTATAATGTAAAAAAATCTTTATTTTTATGAACATACTAGACAAACATGTGGATACCTGTAATAATGGGTCGTTCATTTGTTGAAGGTTTCGGTTTTACTCTATGTTTGGATCTGTCACGCTCCCGTGATCTGGATCTGCTGTACGATCTTCTATGCCTATCTCGTTCACGTTCTCGATCCCTGTCTCTGTCTCTCGACTTTACTCTATCTCGTTCTACAGATCTATAGACAAAAAAGGCTCCATGTTTATGATAGTCAGAGGGATGTAATAAATTAATAAAAAAACACTTTCAAATATACCTTCGTCTTCTTTCTCGCGATCGTCTTCTCCGCCGGTCTCTGTCGCGATCTCGTTCTCGAGATCGATCCCTCCGTCCTCTTCCTGGAGATGGAGAACGACTTCTCCCCATTCTGTAAAGTACATGTTTTTTTAATGCTTCACTAAAATTAATTTAGGAAGATAAGGATTAAAACAACTGCATAATAATATAAATAATTTGGAAACAAACGAGACTGTAAGATTTTGAGTTTAATTGAAAGAATAATTTCGATTATACAATAAATTTCATTGTAGGATTTTTGAACGTTATTATAACATTATAAACAAAAGAAATTATTGTAAATAAAAGAAAATAAATTACACTCTGTTTAACAGTTGATATTTACGCAGCTATTTTTATTTTCGTTTAATTTAAAAAAATAAAAACTCATTAATTTCTAAATAACATTTTTACGGAATATATAGGTTAGGTTACACACTAGCGACACAGTCAGTTAATAGCTGCGTTCAGCAGACTCAACAGTTTTGCACAATCGTTTTATGATTACTGCTGAGATAGGACCATTCTTCTAGATCTAAAAGTATAATCCAATCAGCGCGAAGGAAACTTCCAACAGTTGCAAAACGAACGTTCTGCTGAACGCACCCAGTAAAAGGTTGCAACATTTTTTAATTCGATGGTTTTCGGAACGCGCAAAAATTCTGACAGTGCAGACTACTATCCCTGAAACACTATCTATTGCTGGATTCATACTGCATCCGATTTTCGTCGTACGACGCT